GGAGTTTCAATTTTATTATTATAATTTTTTTCTCACAGCAAAGCTTCCATGCTTCCTCATATTTTATGCTCCATCCATAATTCAAAGCAGATGTGTGTATGTGTGAAAAAAATGGGAAAGATAAGTTTAGGAGGCTCCAAAAATTAATAGACGAAATAAAAATGTAAATTAATCCTTCAAAATTGATATAGAAAGACTTTAATGGAAATAGAATGTATTTTTAATCCAATTTTATTAATTATAATGCAAATGATGATAACTTTACGGAAGTTGAAATCCTTAAAAGTTTTTTTCCTCCTCTGCTCTGCTCTTTGTTCAAGGTTGTGCTGTGTGGGTGTAGATGAACATGTTGAACTTAAAGCTTTTGGGAGAATGATGAAAGGAAAATGCGCAGTTTCTTGGAGATTATGTGTTTTTTGACATAAAAATATTAGGGGTCATTCTTTTGTTACGTCAATCTATGAGGAAGGAAATCTTTTCAAAACAAAACCTGCCTTTATTTTAAATCAAAAAATAAGATACTAAGCAATTATTTATGAAAAAAAAAATAAGGTTTATATACATACATTATTACATTTAGTTGTATATTATTGATAGGATTTGAACCCTTGCATTATGATTTTCAACAGTTTCTCATCATCTGATCTATATCAAATGATTACAACTTTATGTCAGTTCAACGAATTAACGTATTTTAATTACTCAGCTAGTCCAAATCATAATTCTGCCCTGTTTTCACATCGACAATTTCCATAATCGATGGGAAATATGAAAAATTTATTTCATTCAATTGAAATTCAGCGCAAAGCATGAAAACTTTTTTATCCCGAAAATACTCAAATAGCTTTTTACATTAACTGTTCGAGGAAGAATGTCAACATTTAAAGCAAAAGTTAAAGTGCCGGAAATTGTTTACCAGCCACAGATTTTCCTTCCTTCCAAAAAAATGTTTTTTTTTTCATCTCGTCTTTCTTTCTCTGTCCTCAAATGAAATGTAGCTTATGCTGACGATGATAACGATAATGTGAATGTCCTTTTTTGATACAATGAAAATTCCTCGATATAACGCCAAATGGGTACACAGTTTGAATTTTTAATGGTAATATTTGTGTATGTTGTGTAGTTTTAAGGAAGAGCGAGCGATTTTTTATGTCTATGACAAAAATGCTTTTGGTTCTAAAAATCCATTTGCGTTATTGTCATTTAAATACAATTACTTATTTTGTAAAGAAACGAAACAGGCATAGGGGACGCAAAAAGTTTTTTTGCTTTAAATTGAAGAAAGACATTTGAAATATCCAAGGCATATTGTACCCCTTAACATTGATTTTTCCATCAACATTTCTTCTAATGATGTTTAACGAAGTTGAAGATTTTTTGTGCTTCTTTTTTGCTGATACTTTAAGACGAACTAATGGAATCTTTGTCGTATATCCCTAGAAACAATAGAGCTAGTATAAAACTTTTCGTCACCGAAAAAAATAAAGTCGATAAGAAGGAAAGAAAAAATTAAATTTATTTCCAATTCGCTAGAAATTCCAGCAAATATACTCAATAAAACATAAGCATTGAAAGCATCTTTTCGTCTATTTAATAATATAACATTTTATCATGGATGATATGTCGCAATAAAGTCTAATGGAATGAATGCCGAAAGAGAGGAAAATTCTTTTCCTTGTGAAATGAAAATTACTTTCATTTTCTTTCGGATATCCCCTTGAGGAAATTGTTGTTGTGATTTTTTTTTTATGAAACTTTGATGCTGTTTGTTATGGTCACTCGGTGGATTTGAAGGTTATGTTTGGAGGGGATGAAGGGGATCGGGAATTTTGATAGTAGATTGCATTTGATGAAGATTGTTGTCTTTGTACGCTTGCCCTCGGGATCATCATGAGAGGGTTGGGGGGGGGGGGGGGGTTATGGGAATTAAATAAAATCCAATAAAATCAAAGCAAATTTAAGAGAATTCCTAGTAAAGTGAGGTTCGGACTCTTCATAACTGTTGATGTTATGAGCCCTGCCACACAGCTTGCCTGAAGAGCTTAAATAAGGCCATTTTATATCATTTAAATCCTCATAATCAAAAATTAGTAACCTCAATCAAACTATAATTCACACCAACCCTAAGTCTGAATATAATAATTTGTCAAAATCTCACAGTTCATGCACAACTTCCCTTTCTATATCAAAAAATTCCTCAGTCCTGAAAATCCCCATCTTATTGCAATTAAACCATAAAAATTTCCAATAAAAACTTTCAACAATCATCCTAATAACTCGGAAAGAAAAATTCTCGAAGGGGGATCTTCTGAGGATGAGAATGCTTCATGGTGTGTACATATCTGCAAAGTATATACTTTGTTCTATTTAGCAAAGTGGAAAAAGAAGAAGTTCCAAGTCTTTTGAAGCAAAAAAAAAAAATAAAAGTTTTATTATTTTTTCACGCATTTTGTGTTTCCATTTAAACAATATTATTTATACTACTTATTTCTCCTCTCATTCAGCTCCACTCTGTTATCTTTATTGATCCTAAATAATAAAACAAAAATATATATGAGTATATAGAGAAAAACTAAGAAGATCTAAGATGATGAGAAATGAATTATAAAGGGTGGAAAAGGAAGCAAGGAATAGAGAGATGAAGAAAGGAAGTGTAGGAAGGAAGGAAGTAAAGTTACCGTGTAAATAATCTAATTTCCTTCAGGATAGATTATGAAAAAAAATGAAGTAATGAAAATAGGAGAAGCAATAAAAAAGGGGGAGAACAAAAGACGTAACAAATAATATGTATTAAGGAAATTTATATATTCATAGAGGGTCGTTCATAAATTATGTTCAAATGCTTTGGGGTAGGAAGAGTGAAGTCGGACTTTTCCATATAAAATGAATTATAGAAGGGGGGGGGGGGGAGGGTGAGGAGGATGGTAGCTCTGAAAAACCCCATTTTTTTAAAAATTCATCATTTATGAACGACCCTTGAGCATTTTCGGCAAAGAAAGCAAAATAAATATTTGATACTTTTTTGCTCTTGAGATTAAAAGCCATGAAAAGTTTTAAAATTAAAAGCCAGAGGTATTAAGTATATTAACGATTAATTGGGTAATTAACATATTATGTGGCCTCTCAAGGAGCACACAATTCAGTGTTCGAGAAAAAGAAAAATGTGGGTTAACGGTAACGACTGCAAGGCGCTGAAAGATTTTTTTCATTTTACTATGATACATATAAATAAAAAATAAATAAAGTTAAGGTGGAAAATGTACAATTATTTTGTGAGTTATGATAGCGCTTCCTTTTTATCTGGGTAAAAAATTGTTAATGTGTTTCAAAAAAAAAATTGAGACCATAGCAAAGTACAAGGAATATTTTTTTTTATTAATTCGATAGGATTCGGACCCTCTCTCGCAAGTTTTTCAACTAGTTTCATACATTTATAAATTGAAATTTGGCATAAATTCTATTAAAGATGGTCTCAATGGAGACTTTATTTTATATAAAATTTTAGGTTCGTACATCATTGATTATGAATCTTGTGGTTATTGGCTAGACGTGCAAAGCAATTTTTCATCAATTTCACTGACGACAAAATGACCTCGAAAAACGCACTTTCTTTCTCAATCGACCACAAAATCTTGCGCCTCAATTCATGTTTTAAAATTCTACATGTGCTCGAATAAAAAAGTAAAATAAATTAAAAGGCAAAACTTATTCAATCAGACAACTCGATCTCAACGAGCTACTTACTTATGTGAATAAATTTAATATGTTTAGCATCAATATGTGAGATACTAATGAGACATAGTATTTTACTAATTGTCACTTACTCCGTGATTATTCTGACAGATTAGCAATTCGTCTGTAAAAGGAAATAAAATAATGTAAAAACTTTTTTTTTTGTTTGAACATCAACATCAGAAATTGAATGTGCCCGCCCACATTCCATATACCAGAAAAATAAAACTCTTTTGTTTTGTTTGGTTAAAGGAAGAGTGAGTAAAAGCATATGATGCCGTAGTCCTTAATTGATTGCCACATTGCCATTAATGAGCATAAAAAATTGTGAGAAACAGCAGAAGTTTCAATATATATTTTTATGCTGATGACTACACGAGAATTATTCATTCCGAAACAACAAAACAACAATTGACCAAGTCCAAGGCAAATTGGAAACAGAAAAAAAAATGTGTATAAATAAAAACAAGCAAAATATATGTATAATAATATTATTACGGCAATATGTGCTATTAACGAAAAAATGCTGTGTGGCAAGAGCGTAAATTCGGAGAGATACAAAGAAAAAAATTCCTTTATCTTTTGCAGGCAATTTGCCAAGTAGCAAGAAAACATCAAACGGATCGGGAGAGAAATTTGAGAGAGCCAATGTTGAATGTTGAATGTTTTAAGAATCGTTCAATGTTGATTATTATTGTTGGATGCTGGATGTCATGCAAATGATTGCTCTTGAAATATTAGCTTTTAATATTGCCCTCCCAGAAATTACCATATTAAAATTCAAGCCAAAAAGCTAGGCATAGGAAATATAAAACAATAACAACAGCAGTGTTAGCGACAGTAAATAAGAGGAAAAGTGAATTATTTGGTTAAACAGGCTAGGATAAAAAGAATCAGAGTCAGCAGATATAAATATAAACAGCATAACTTCCACATCAACGCAGCATAAACATAAAACAAAGTGCTTCATTTTATACTAACATTTAAAGTGCCTTCTATCCAATTTTTGTACGTATATATATATTTTTGGGGAGAAAGAGGAGAAAATTGAAAAATTTTATACACAAACAAAGCAGCAGCAACAACAACAGTAGAGCCAGAACCTCTTCTCTTTGCAATACCCACACCATTACATGAGGGAAAAAAGTTTACAATTCCGACTGAATAATAATTTTTTTTCAAGTCCATTACATGAGATTTAATTAAATTTAATCATTTAAAAAAAAGTACGGACGCTGCAAAAGTGGAGAATTACACAATAAACAATAATGTTTAGTAACGATAAGAAGCCGAGTGGTGTAACCAATTGGTTCTTCTCACTTAGACGACAACCAAAGAAACAGAAATCATTAGATAGTAGTAAACTTTTACAAAAGAGCTGTGTCGATTTATCAAATGCTGGCGTAACAGGAGGATCGTCTGAACAAGACTTACTATTCCGCACAAAGCCTTCCAAATTGAAATTAAATAACAATAGTAGCAATAATAATAATAATAACATTGATGATGGTTTATCATCAACTAGCAATTCATGTACAAATTGTTGTTGTAAATTTTCATCAAAAACCTCATCGCCGTCATTTGGTGTGTCGCCGATAGACGATATAGAGCAATGTGATCAAATGCGTAGAGTATTAATAACAAATGAGGAGAATTATAGTGCAATAGAATGTCAAGATGATGACTATGATGATGTAGAGACGACTGAAAGACTAAAGAGGCACCACCAGCAACTGAAACAGCAGCAACAGAAATTCACAAATAATTTTAGTAATAACATTTTATTATACAATAAGAAAGAAGAATTTAGTCGGACGACACGTACAGTAACAACTCGTGTCATCACCAAAGCAACAATTAGTGGGAATGATTCAAATACAATTGTTACAACACCATCAACAGTAAGCAGTACCAGTAGTAGTAGTAATGGACGACTCAATAATAATAGTAATATGCATCATCGGATAGGCTTAGTATTTAATGAAAATGGTCAATTAATCAATCGACGACAATTATTGAATGCTAAAAATCGTGATGGTCTGATATTCGATGAATGTGGACGACTACTGTATACGGATAATGATGAAACATCCTCATCCTTAACACCAATATCAGTTTTAGATGATAGTACAATTGAGTTTATAGATAGCGCCTCACAAAACAGTGATATACAAAATCGTGCAAATCTGCAGAACAAGTGCAGTTGCAATGGAAGCAAATTGACATTAAGTAGCAGTATCATGTCAAGTTGTAAATCGGAATGGGATTGTAACAATAAGCAGGTAAATTGTCATCATCATCATTAATACACATACGATGAATTAGCCTAGCGGCTACATGCTAATTTGTTTTTACCTCTTGCTGTGACAACAAATTGACAACATTTAGTTCTCTGTACGCTCGTTATTGTAATCTTGTGAAAAAAATAGGTTTACTTTTCATTAATTGCATTTGCTAGTGCTGTTGACTTCCGTGTGAGAGATATGGAATGTAGAATGGAATTTTTTTCAAGCACGAAAGCTTTCTAAAATCCCGAACCGTACTTTAAAGTTGTTAAGCAAGTCTATGTTGTTGTATTAGCTGTAGAATGTGAAGATGACTTGTGGGTTCTTACGGGAAGTGACTTGACGATTGTTATAAACTTACTTATGGCTTTGAATGAAACTCATATGTTAGGCAGCTCGGGAATGTCTTTGAAGTATAGCTCTTGTGTAGATATAGCTTTAAATCGTGTTCAATTATCTATAGTACATAACCCTGAGCGTTAAGCTTATAATTGTACTAGCTGTATGTTTAAGACTGATAAATCCAGTAAGGCAAGTCACTGTGAACTCCTCGTTTACTGAGTTTTAAGGATCTTTGGGCTCGATTCTTCTCGAATCCAATTTGTAACCCACACATCCAATTCATCCAAGCAATCCTGTTGCTGCAGGTTATCGCTGTCATAAACATTATTATTGATTACGGTATCAAGAATTGACAATTTCCAAAAAAAATGCCCAAAGGATTCATAACAATCTTTATTTGATCCCAAAAAAATCGAAACATTCCAGCCTTTCTCCATCCCTTGAAAATCTAAAGCCTATAAATTTGGAATTAAAATTAATTTGAATGTCCCTTTGGGCTACTTCATTTGTTATTGATGAGATTTGCTATTGTCCACTAAATCGAAAAGGATTCCACGAAAAAATAGCACAAAACAGAAAAAGTCATTAAGGCATTCTCTTTCATTTCCTTAAATGTTTGCGTCTCTTCATCGCTTTTTATGCCCAAATTTACAATAAAACAGAATATAAGGAAGGAAAAGAAAGGTTCAATTTTTGGAGTATGAGGAAGAAAATTGAGAGCGAAGACCTCATTAAACACTGCTATGGCATGGTGTTAAAGGAAATTTTATCTATTGGAATAAATTGGCAGGATATAGAGCAAGAGACTGAGTATAAAAAAAGGAATCGAAGTGAAATTGCGTTTCTCAATGGGAAAATCAATCTTTGTTTTTTATGTGCAAGCTGTCGTCTTCACTTATGTGAATGTTATTCATTGCTTCTAGTGTCTTTGCTATAATATCATGATGACCCAAAACAAGGCAGTGAATAGTATTTCCTATCATTTTTTATTGGTAGTTGTTAGAAGGTTTTAAGTTCCGTGATTTTTATGAGTACTGCTGGTACAAGTAGTAAAATATATATGCTTGAGAAAATAAAGTTGTGAGGATCTAAAATTTATGTATCGGAAGTAAGTAGAAGAATGCAGTGTAATGAGATGAAAACCTTTTGTACTTTGATTTTGCAACCTTCGGTTTTTAAGGACTATTTAAGAATCACCAACCGAAATTTCAAATTCAAATCAATCAAAAGTTTTTCAAGCTTACCGAATTAGGTACTTTTAAAAACTTTTATGTGCTCATTTTGAGAATTAAGCAATTTAAACTAAACCAGAATCTTGCACATTTCAGTAGAAAGTATCAAGCTAGACGAGTTAATTATGTTTTAATTAAAATATTTTAAAGTAAACATAAATTTTAATTTCAAAAGTAAACTCACATTGAATTTTCAAACAAAACTATTTGTGTAATAAGTTCCATTCAGCTCAGTGGCCATGGTGATGCCTAAAAGTATTTTCTATGTTCAACAAAAATCTGTGGTAAATAATTAAAATTTTGTAATAAATTGAAGTAGATTTTGGGATGAGGAGGTATCAGCAAAAATTTAATGGGTTTCTGCTGTATATTTAGAGATGAGATGGGATGGGATGGGATGGGATGGGATGGGATGGGATGGGATGGGATGGGATGGGATGGGATGTGAAGCTTCAATGTTGGAAAGTCTCATTAGTTTTATCAAAACAAATAACTTGAAATTAATGAGAATTTAGTTTTGAATAATGATTCAATATTGTGGTTAAGTTAGGTTTTAGAACGGAATCTCAAGCTTTTTTGGCGCTTGATAAACATTCCGACTTTAAGCTTCACAAAAAAAAAATCCAAAAAGTATTCAGAACTCCCTCAATCATCTTTCAAGATTCAATATTTCTTTAAATCGTTACGGTTGTGTGATCTTAGATCCTCTACACTTCATTTATATGCCTTGAAAGCATCCTGATACCTAAAGTTTCCCCATAAGAGAATTCACTTTTTCTATTCGTGCGAAAAAGGAAGAAAAGCAGCTGTCAAGAATAATGGTGTTACATTAATATTAGCTCTATATTTTCTTGTTCTTATTCCCCATATAGTATGATAATATGTGTAGATCCTATAAATTGCAATGCGGTCCATTGCTTACACATGATGATGATATAAGAATTGAAATTTATATGAACATGAGGTTAATAAAAGTTACAGATTTATGCTTACACAGTCATCATCAAGATAATATGATAAATATGAGGACTTTATGTATATACACAAAAGTGAACTAATGCCTGTTTATTGCAGACCTCAAATGATATTTTAATTATCGCTTTTCACCCTTAAATAATGTCGTTACTTTTCAACTTCCTTTACCTCAGCCCGATAAAAGCTGAACATTTTTCTCCGTGTCATTGCGTGACATTCATTTCTTCGCTGTCAACCAAACATTTTGGCCCTTTCTCCCACCAACCCCCACCGTATCCTTTTACTCTAGTGAAAAGAAATAAATAAAAAAAAAGTCAAGAAAATAAGAAGAAGAGGCTACCGAACTTTAATAAATTAAATTTTATGTTTTCACGTAGTTCGGTTTGGAGCGTACAAGCAGCAACACAAAAAAACACACAAAAATGGAATAAAATAATCAAACTTTTTTTTTTGTTTTTATTTCCCAATCTACAGCAAATTAAGGATGAACTTAGTGAAGTTGTACAAGAAATGGAATCACATGAATCAGAGAGTAAGCATTCCAGCAAAGAGAAGCAAATGTCAATAGGTCGCAAAAAGTTTAATATGGATCCGAAAAAAGGTAAGTGAATGAGCAATAAATGGAAATTAGTTTTGAGTTTCTCAACGTGAAATGAGCGTGATTGTCTTGGAGTTGGAAAGATTTTGCAATCTTGGCTGCTGAAGATTTATAATTTGTAAACTAAGCTTAACAATGGTCAATCGACTAGGCTTCATGACGTTTACTAATGAGCACCTAGCTTCTGATATGTACCCTTATTTGATTCTTCAGAATGTATCAAATTTCAATGTTTCCCAAGGAAAGTACATCGTTGACAGGCCATTACAGCAATGCTAATGCATGCAATCCCTAATAAAACCGCGCTCATACAACTCATGAATCGCCTAGAAAAGCAATTCATAAAAAAACCCTTTTTCATGCTTTGATGAAAATTGAAAATTCTCTCACCCTCGTTAATGGCCTTTCGCTTTTACATTTGAAGCGACTGAAAGGCGCATAATGCGATTCATGAGAGAGAAATAAAAGAAAAAAAAATGATAGGAAACTGATGGAGTCATTAAATGATAATAGACTTCATATCTCTAATGAAATTCTATCAAAATTAATTCTTAATTTATGTTCTAATCTCATCCCCCATATGTAGGCATTGAATATCTATACGAGAATCATCTGCTCAAACACGATCCACAAGATGTGGCGCAGTTCCTATACAAAGGCGAAGGATTAAATAAAACAGCAATTGGTAATTTATTATTCGCTAGCATTAGCTGATCGAATTTACTGACACTGTTTTTTTTTGGTATCATTAATCATTAGGTGACTATCTTGGCGAGAAGAATCCATTCAATGAGAAAGTTTTAAAAGCTTTTGTTGAGCTTCACGACTTCACGAATCTCATTCTAGTGCAAGCTTTAAGGTAAGTTAAAGAAGAAATTTCCAATTCAATTTATCGATGTCGTGTTGATTTAATGCATTCATAAATGTAGTCTGGTGTAGAATCTCAAGTCATTTGGAATATTTAAAAGGAATCTGATGGTGTGATTGGAAATAATTTATTTAATGGAAATAGAATGAATCTTGAATTAGTCATTAAATTGGATGTGTGGAGTAGACTATAGCTGTTGCTTTTGATTGAAATGATGAAATGTGAATGATGGGAGATGAAAGGCTTGATGAATATGAAAGGATGATGAGATAGCTGTGCATTAGCAAAATTGAGGGTGGAACCAAGTGATGTTAAGTTCAGATTTGGTGATTTCGTTTTTAAAATCGTCGAGACGCAGACGATGGAAAGTCTGGTTTTGGTAATTAGAATAACGAGATTTGGGGCTAGATTTTGAGAACTAGGAGAGTATTTGGAGATCTAGAACGTTAAAAGCAAGTGATAGGATTTATTGTTGCTCTTCTGAGTACAACCACGACTTTCGTCCTATGAATGGATCTACAATATCGCACAACATCACCTTCCATAACCTTCAAACCTGACTTCTGTTTAACGACAAGGAAACTTAAATTCATTGAAAAGAAAATATTATTATCAGCCATTGACATTGACAATTCAGACTCACTTGTTTTTATTTCTCAACGATCTCAGATTTCTTATTATTTATTGCCATTTCGTTTTCATCTCGAATGCATCACAAGCTATTTTGTTATAATATTAAATTTTGAAGAGCATATCATTTCACATCATTATTCTTTCATAAATGAAAATATCAACTGCTTTTCCATTGTGCTCTTTTTATCTAGAACCTGAAATAAATAGACAGACAAAGCGTCAATTTAATTTGAAACTTTAAGTTCATCACCATAACAAAGACCGTAGTTTTTGCAAAACTTTATTTTTCTTTAGAATATTTTCACAACAATCAAGATAATAATGACGTTATTATATTCAGGAACAATCCTTCAATGTCATTTCGCACAGATGAAATCTTTTTTTTTTGCTACATTATCCACAACAATAGAATGTGTAGGCATAATGTAATGGCATCATAATCTATCAGATTTCATGATATGCCGTATTTTGTATCCCATCTACAGAAAAGTGTATGCACATGTCTAGATATTGATGTTATGTACGGAAAAAAAAATTATTTATGTGATCGTATTCAAATCGATTTGTGGCTTTCATATCAACATCAAATCATGCTGATACCAAACTGACAGAACATACACACTCCAAAAAAGAGAGAACAATAATAATATTCATGACATACACGACACGGCGTGATTAAAGTCGAAAAAATATGTAAAAAGAGCGAGTTTGAATAAATCAAAATTCGATGTCTGGTTGAGTGCGATGGGAATGTGAATGTGAACGAGATAGATGAAAGGTTGAGGCATGTTTGGAGATGAAGCTTTTATCAGCACGGTTTTGTTTCACATATGAAAATTTCAAAATTATTGCATTAATGACTTTGGATAATAGAATTTATTTTTTCATGGACTTTCCATATCAAATGTTTTCCATCAAAATCTTCCGATTTGATGCATTTTTAATTAAAACTGCAATAACATTCTTGCAGTTCTATTCGGAGCACGCAATACTTCAAAATCAGAATTTCAATCAAACATCCGAAAGCACCAAAAGTTGAACTAAAAAAATCCTAACCTAAAATTGACAAAGTACACAAAATGATATAAAAGCGTGCAAAAAAATCCAATCATACATTTATTTATTTTCATTTCCGATCGGTTCACCAGATGTTTGTATTTTATAAAATATGTATGACTATGTTGCTACTTATTTATGCTGTTTTATGTATCCTCGTTGCTTGCTCTCTTTTTTTTGCCTGTTATACGGTAAAAGAAGAAGCATATCGACGTATTGAAGACTTTTGTGGTTGAACTAGAAGTAAATTTTAATGCTTTAAATTTTTCTCTCTCTTCCTTCCATTATAGACAGTTTTTGTGGTCGTTTCGATTGCCAGGAGAGGCGCAGAAGATTGATAGGATGATGGAATGCTTTGCACAGCGCTACTGTCAATTAAACCCCGACATTTTTACAAATGCTGATACATGTTACGTATTGAGTTTTGCCATCATTATGTTAAATACATCGCTACATAATCCATCCGTTAAGGATAAGCCTACTGTTGAGCAATTCATTTCAATGAATCGAGGTAAGTGACATACGAGCCAAAAAAAAAGTTTATCGTAACCGTGCATTGACTTTACAACTTTGTGTATTACAGGCATCAATAATGGCGGTGATTTGCCTCGTGAACTTTTAGAATCACTTTATGAATCAATAAGAACTGAACCATTCAAAATTCCACAAGATGATGGAAATGATCTGATGCATACATTCTTCAATCCTGATAAGGAAGGTTGGCTTTGGAAGCAAGGCGGTCGTTATAAAAGTTGGAAAAGACGTTGGTTCATCCTCAACGATAATTGTCTTTATTACTTTGAATTTACAACAGATAAAGAACCGAGAGGTATCATACCATTAGAAAATATCATGGTAAGTAACTGTAACGATTATTTTTATGGTATTTTGTGTAGTTAGATCTTGGAGATATTGATGACCGAGTAGCATATGATACTAAATGCTTTTTGAAGATATTAAAGTTAATATTTAGTATCATAATTAAGAAATGGAATATTAAGCTTTGTTGTTGGACATGTCTTCTTTTTTTTGGATAAGGATGTAAAAGCTCTTAAAGCTATAGCTTATTTACGATTATTGACACAAAATTTGATCAACATCGACTAGTCCCAAATGGCTTTTAAGCATAGATACAAATATTAATGAGTAATTACTGAAATGTCTAATGATATTAATATTAGTGACTGAATATCCAATAGAAAAACTTTATGAAAGCATAGAGCATCTGCTGGTCTCTATCCTCGAAACAATCCTTAAAGTAAGCACAAAATATTGACCATCATTCTCGAATATAAGCCTTATTATAGGCTATGCTAAACGATGAAAATACAAAGGAAGCATGTAGATCAAGAAATGAGATAAGATTAGACAAAGGAAAGTAAACTTCCTTCTTAATACAATGTTTTAATCTCAGCCTTAGAAACTGACAGACAGGAAATGTCTAAGGTTGTGAGAATATCGACCGAGTAATGCTGTAAAGTTCAATGTAAATTTTGTGCTTGATATTGAAAAATTTCTCAGAAGATAAGGATTTAGGATTGTTGACACAAAAGATTTATAGACTGAATGCTTGCAGATGTGAGGATTATTAACAAGTATGAATGTAAATTGCGATAAACATGCTTATTTGTATGACTAGTCAGCTAGTGATTGTATATCAGACAAGTTTCCCGCATTTTTGAAACAGTGTCATGTAACCTTGTGTCCATGCTAATATCTAATTATCATATGCAGCTCGGCAATGACCTCCTTGAATTTTTAAAAAGAAGCAAATTTATTGATCGCAAAAAAATTTATTTTATGCCTAATAATAATAAAAAAAAATTTTCACACAGGTTCGTGAGTGCAAGGCCAACGATAAAAGTAAGCAACATTGCTTCGAGCTTTATGCCACCGGTGGTGCTGAAATCATTAAAGCATGTAAAACGGATTCAGAGGGGAAGGTGAGAAAGCAAAAAAAAAAAAAAATTGGGATTTAAATTTTATTTCCTCAAATCAATTTTCATAAAAATAAATATTAAATTCCGCATCCCTTATTTTATTTCGTAGGTTGTTGAAGGTAAGCACAATGTTTATCGAATGTCAGCAGCAACAGAAGAGGAGAAGAACGAATGGATAAGACTACTCAAGCACTCAATAGCCCATAATCCATTTTATGATATTTTGGTACAAAGGAAGAAAAAGGCATTAATCAAGAGTTAGTAATGCCAATATAAATATGTGAGCAACTAGACAACGTCTGTGTTTGGTCAACAGAAGTAAATTCAATCTCAATATTTTATTATTTTTATTTATGATTTTAGAAATTTAATTTAAATTTCCATCACTTATTTAGCACTAAAATATATTTTTTGAGGTCGTGACTTACTTCGTAGAACTGATGAAGTATTTTTAAAGTGTCTCTAAACTCAATTGACATACCTCATAAAAAAAAACAATGTGTATCAAAAAGAATAAAGCTGCATGGAGTGCAAAACTTTGTAAATTAAACAAATTATTGATGTGGATGAATATGTGCTGTATGGGATTAATGAGAAGGGATTTTCTGGGAAGAACAATTAATGTAGGGAGATTCAATGGCCTATAAAATTAACTTTTTAATGAGCAGCCTTTTGAAAATAGGTCATGCATAATTAAATTGATTGAAGATGAACTGGCAAGCTATTTGTATCAATATTGTTATTGTTTGGGGCTTGAAATTAATGAATTTTGTTGGGGAATGTTCACAAATGATGACTATCGATTGAAAAGTCACAAGACATAGAATGATAAACAGTCTGTTACTGTGTCTTGTGTTCTTAAGCCTAAATTAAACAAGTGTAGCATAATTTTTTGGAATTAAAGCTTTTGCTAAGTTGCTAAAACCACCTTTGAACTGCTCCAAAACCTGTCAGCTTCTTATTTATTAAACAAAGCTGAATGATCTTCTTTGGCACTACAGAAATTCATTAAAAAATAAGAAAATTTCTTCCGTGAGTCTCTTAAAAATCTTCCAAAATCTCCAATTTTCACAAATAAAAATTGCCAAAATTTAATTATAAGAAAAGCTTTTAGTCTACAAAAGAAATTCAACCTTTTAAAGCTCCTTGAACCATCTACAAAGCCCCTTTTTCATCCCATTATTTGCCTCTCATTGCCCATGCAAAAATATTCATCAACTTCATGAGCTAAAAAATGAATTTTATTTAATTGCTATTTTGACTTGGGATGCAATGCAAATTAGGGAGACATAAATATGAAGAAATTAAGTGCTTTTAATGTTCACTGTTTGTTACGTGAAGAAATTTCGTTTCTTTTCTTTTAATTGACGTTATTCGAGTGACACAAAATATATTTCACGAAGGCTTTGGCCTTGATGTTAAGTGGATGGGATTATGTGGAAAATTTTTATTGACTTTAGGGCCTTGCGAGGGTGAATTGGAATGAAATTGAGTTAATGGATAAATTATTGAATTTTTTTTTTGGGTCAAAAAGTTTTCAATTATTTGCTGAAAAATGAAATATTTGTTAAATCTCAAATGCTAGGGTGAATCTAGAAATCATACCTAAAAACTATTGCTGAGGAACTCCTTTCAATTCCAAAATGCAGCTATGTGGGCACTTTAACTATAGTGAAAGATCAATGAGGGATCATTTATAAGTCAAGAACTTCAATTTTGTAGGAAGTAGAACCATTCGACTCAACTTCTTCAAATGAATTTTCGAATAATTCAAGATTCATTCGCTTATTCCAAAAACCCATCACCTTAACCATCAAGTTCCATTAATTTATGTCACTTTATATCAAAAAAATAAATTAAAAATAATTTCGTTAAAAAATTGCTTCCATTTTGACAAGCCTGATACGAACTTAAAACTAATAATCGTAAATAAGAAAAGATTATTGATGCCAAAACTTTTTGTAAGTAAAACGCATAAAAAAAATGATTTCGTGAGTCAAAAATTATGAAAATATAAAAAATTGCTTTTGTTCATAAAAAAAAAACTAAATTAATGATAGGAAATGTAACAAAAAAGTTTTTGTAAGCAAAGCTAAAAGGCAGAGAAAAGAGAAATTTGTGCTAAGAATGAAAAATTTATATATATCTATGTAATCCTTGTAATCCTCAAAAACATTTTCACTATTTCTCATTCATATCATTGAAAAAGAAAGATTTCATAAAAAAACAAAACTTATAAAAAAACTTGCATATTAAAAACTATTTAATCAAAAAACAAAAAAGTTTCTTTTAAAAAGTGAATTTTTATGACAAAGAAAGAGTTAAGAAAGCATTCATGTTTATGGATTTATTGACTACAATTTCTTAAGTTATTATGTTTTGGGTTTGGGAGATTTTGTGGAATTTTGAAAGGGATTTTAAAGGTTTTAAATTTGTTGTACTAAGAGTAAGTTTTATTTTTGATTGATAAGATCACAACCAAGACTGCCGCAGATTATAATCTTTAATAATCTTCATACAAAGATTATAATCTTCGTTTTAGTAAAATTTATAATCTGCGGGACCTTTTATCGCAACCTTAGTAAAAACAACTTATTCTTAATTGAAGATCTAGTTTCTTAAATGATCTTGAATCAACGAAACATCGATACAGCCTTGATTCTAACAAGATAAAATCTTTTTACCCTCCAAAAATCTCTCAAAATCCCACAAACCTCAAAATTTTTAAAAAAGAAATTAAAACTTTAATTCAATTTTCGGTGATATATTGAGTTTTTGTTATTTATTTTATGTAACTTTCCTTCAAGTTATCAATAAACTTTATATCAACGGACTGATTGTTAAGCCGCAATGTTGAAATGAAGGAAAATAAAATTTTTCAAATAATTTATAAGTCCAAAATTACTTTTGCATCGTTTGAGAATCTCTTGATTAATGCAAACTTTAAGTTTAAGTATAAATTGGAGTTCCAACATCTCAATAATTTTTTAAAAAGCATCTAAGTGAACCACCAATTAGGAAACTCCTTTTTTGGATCTAGAAACAAATGAACCACTGTGAAGTATGACGATGATGCATTTTAGTGACATTAAATGCGAGCTTATTTGTTCTACACAGATTTTTTAGGTTTAATTTCTTTAAAAGTTTTATTTAAAAGATATTTTATTAAATTTATGACAAGAGATAGTAAAAGGTATATATGTATTTTATTTCCATGATTTTTAATTTGATTTTAAATTAGTCTAATGTAATTTTATCAGTAAATAAGAATTTTAATTTTGTGCAAAATATAATAAAATGAAAAAAATAAACAAGAAAATGAATTTTAAAGAAAATTGTGGCATTTTTAATTCAATCTTCAGCATTTTGAGTTTATAAATGAAAATTATTAATTGAGTTTATAGATTTGAAGTTGTTCTTGAATATTAGGGAACATTGATTAAAAAAGAATTCGATTCTTGAAAGAAAATAACAGCAATTAAAGTTTTCAATTTAATTCAAATCTTTAAAATTGAAACCAAAATGTGCAGCATTAATGCATTCAGAGTTTACAACATTCTACTTGGTAAGAAGATTTTCTGTCTCTTTTAAAAATCAGTTTAACATTTTCTCGATTTTCAGGATTCTTAAATGCATTGATTTCAGCTGGTATTGTCGTCATTGCCATTATTTGGATCTCATCTGGAAATGACAATTTCACATCAGAAGAAAAGATTTCAGTTTGGCTTGGAATTCGTGAGTTTTTCTTGTAATCAAATACAAAACATAACAACTAAATCTAAACCTTTACTATAACACAGCCCACGCAGCTATTGACGTTACTTACATGATTTTTCATGTGTTTTATTTCTTCGCCAACATTTGCTGGATTATCGGATCATGCTTCGTGAGTTTTTCTTAATAATAGTTTACAACTTTCTTTCTAATTTCTAAGCGTGTGGTACAATAGATTCTTTACAAATTGAATCGCAGTGCCTCCTGCTGAAAGGCTGGGCCCTTCACACATTATTATTCTAATTGCCAAATGTTTGAAAAACTTTTCAGGAAGACACATTAGTGATGATTCCAATTGTAATCATGAGCATCACCAGCATTGTTGTAACTCTTTTGTTTTCAATCCATTCATCTCAAGATTTGATAATAGCTGCTGGTTATTCAATATTCATTAACTTCTGCATCATTTTGACTTGCTGCTTTCATGTCAAAATACGAAATTAAAGCATCCATTTTGGAAATACTTTCCCATAGATTCAACGTTAAAAAATGAGTCACTTATTTGAGAATGGAAATTTCTGTACATTTAATAAATTCTGATTGAAGAAAAATATAAAGTAACAGAATGTTGTGTCCTTTTAATTTGACTGAATGTTATGATTTGCAAGTTTCTAGCAGTAGAGAAGTTAAACCACTGACTTCTTGATCCTGTTCAGTAGAAAATAATTTTATTTAAAAATTGAACAATTCACTTTGATCCGAAACTTTGATCTTGTGAGCAACACTTGCATGCAAAATCTTCCTTACCGACCTTCCTTCGAACAATTTTTTGTTGAAAAGCAGAATGGAATCTGTGATAAAAAACTTATAAACGTTGTCGTTACTTACAGGATGTTAAACGAACAACTTAATATGAATTGGATTCAGATCTTTTGACTTATTAGACAGTGCATTGCTAGATAACTTTTTAAGAGGCTACATTCATGACTTTAGAGATTAACTACTTAAGCCAAAAATGTTCATGTTGATATGGAGCCTTAATGATTAAGCCACAAAAAATTGTTAAATCACATAAATATTACTGCACACTTCCCCAAAATTCCTGAAAAATACTGTTGAATAAAATAATTAAATTTATAATCTCAAGCTACGAACAATAATGAAATCAATAGAATGGAATAGAATATTGGAATTGTTTATGATTCAAACTTTATCAATGAATAAATCAACCAACAATCTCAAACATAGATGTAGATAAATTCAATATCTAAATTCCTTCTCAACTTTTCGGATGCAATAAAATTTTTCTCTCCAATTCCACGTATTGCAATTTCCATCATCGACTATTGCAGCGTTCATAATTCTAGCACAGTAGTTCTCAAACTTTTTTTGACAACACAGTAAGTTTGTGTATATTGCCATACATTTCATGACAAACCTGAAAGTTGTTTTTGGTGTCGTGGACCAAAGTTTGAGAAACACTGCTTTAGCAGCATGAAAAAAATTAAAAAAATTTGTTTCCTTCATTCCCATCCACATCCAACAATAGCCAGAAATTGATATAAATTTTTATGATTACAACAATATGCAAACAATAACCAAAACAATTTTTTTTCCTCTCCTCTTACTGCCCTCATACTTTCCATGTTCATGTTCTGTAGAATTGCAAAAATGTAATTTCCTTTCTGCTGCCCACATTGACACATGTAGAACTGGAAGAGGGTGAGCAGGAATAAATGCATTTGTTGTTATTATTTGCATTCAGCTTTTTTTTCGGTACTACAATTTTTTTCACTCTTGTTGTTGTTGTTCCTTTCTCATGTGCATCACATCCTCGAAAATATCCAATGTTGTGGAAAGGACGAACGAAATTGTCTGTGCATAAATGCAATAATAATCATCACGTGAATGAATGTGCTGTGCTATTGCTATTCATGTATACATGCTCAAAAGACAATAATGGAAACATAGAGTCACTTTTTGTTCCTGAATTGTGGACTTCTGAGGTTCAAGAAGTGAATAGTTTGGCTTGTCCTAGCAATGAATCTGAATGGCACCTCTACTTACTCTATTTTTAAAAATCAGAACCCATAAGATAAGCTTTACTTAAAACCAACTTCAAGAGCCCTTCAAGCCTCATCCAAGAGCGTCACTTGAACTCTATCCACAAATCCTCAACTTCCATTTCAATTCTAATTTCACCATAGATATTGTGTGTATGTGTCATGAGCTTTTTGAGCTTAGTATCATAGCAGACTGTACAATAGCATACACAAGAGACTGAAAATCCATTTGAAGCTCGCAAAAAGGAACTAAAATGAAACTTTATACTGCCATAGATTGCAATGATGTTGACGATGATGATGATTTGCATTAGGGAAAAATATGAAACTGTTATGTGCACTTATGCTTCATAAAGCTGTCTATTTTACCCTTTTTCAGCTCTCTCACCTCACTGCACGCTCACTTGTGTTTCATGCGAACTCTTCATCCAGTGTTGTGTGCTATGTGCTGTGCATGAGTCAAGAGAAAAAAAAAAAGTTTCATGTAAGCTTACAAAATTACAAATATGTACATGCACAATAACCAGGCAAGTGAGTGACGGTAAGCAGAAAGTCATCGTCATTCATAAACTTGCCATGCTTGCTGCTCATGCTGCTTCTCATTTTTTTTATTTCCAGCAACATCATTCTCTAAAATTAAATTTTTCATGAGCACAATTTTTCCTGCGGATAGAGAAAAAAAAGTCAGCTATACACTTGACTCAAATGTCATGTTTGGATAGGATATGTTCAGGCTGAATATCTAAATATCCGCTTTTCCTCTTGCTACAACTAATATTGTTGTTATTGTTGACTGGTTATTTCTATTCCTCTATCTGAGCTGTGTGAATTTTTTAAAAGAAGGCAAAAATATGCTTTTTTGGAATTTTCTGTGTGCTTCTTCTTGCTCTGTGCTACACAGGGGATGGAATGTGTTTTAGTAGTGTCTGAATAAGTCATCGCTTTCGTTTTTGAGTCTTATTAGATCAACTGCAGCTTATCTGAGTTGACTGTTGTGAAATTAAACTTGAGTATCGTTGAGCAAGGGATTGTAGGGACATGAAGACACATCTTTTCCTATATTCAGTCATAGAACGCTGCTACAATGATCAACAGAGATTTGTCAAGCATCTTTATGTTCCCATCCCTATCCTTCTGTCCATCTCACACCACAAAACTCCAAAAAATAAAATTTCTTCATCTTCTTTTTTACTCCTTTCAATATACAGCATGCAGCATAGCAATAAAGTCATTTCATGTATTTTTGAAAAAAATTTAAATATTTATTTCACTCGACAACTTTATTTCAATTCGACATTTTTTTGGCTGGAAGGCAATGACAACATGAACAGCAAAAACAGTAGAAAGGCAACAGCATCAGTAATGTCATGACTTTGGACTTTTTTTCGTGTTTTATTTTGTAAATTTTTGCTGTTTTGAGATGGTCAGAAAAATAAAGAAAAAAAGGGGGACTGGGGGGGGGGGGGGTGGTGTCAAAGAGTTGCTACTTTGAGAAAAGAGAGCTGATTAGTGACTTTTTGACTTGAAATGTTGTGACATACTGTGGCTTTCTATTGAGAAAGTGAGAACTCAATTTTAAAAATGTTCGAAAAATGCGCTCAATACACTTTCAACCCAATAATGTAATTATTACTTGAACTCAATTTTAGCAAGCTTCACTCTGAGGTTGCTCTTCCTTTGCGGAAGGTTTTTATTTAATAGAACAAAAAAAATATTTCAGCACAGAAATTGTTGACTGGCTAAATTCGTTCCTTCATTTCATAAAATAATATGGACATGTGTATATCCCAAAAGTCCCTTCCTCTTTACTTTCATCTCACATTTTTCGAATGGATGAAGCTAAGGAATTTTTGCACAACATTTCATATTAAATAACTTTTTGAGCTACAGCAACAGCATAGAAGCATACGAGAAATGCCATTAGATTTTTTTATAAAACTAAAATATTGTTTAAAAATATTTCCTAGCTGTATATACAGGATGACCAACTTTATGAAATTTATTAACTATATGATGGAAATTCTTTTTTTTCTACTCAGAATATCCATAAACAGAAGAAATTAATCTGGTTGCCCTCGGTAAAGTGGCATAATGAAAAATATGCTTGTGCTGTAACCTCTCTCAATGGTGCACTAAATCATACATATTTTCAATGTTACAGACTTACTTCTATAGATGTGGATGAAGAATGAAGTGTGGTTGGTGATTTTCTGAATTCATTGAAGTTGATACATATTTACGATGAACCCCGTCCTTATCGATGAAAATAATTTTTATAAGACTATTTTGTAGCAAGCGATCTTCTGAAATATCCAAGGAAATAAGACTAGGGGCTGTCGGAGAATTACTTGGCGTGCAACTGTTGAACGGGAGGCGGAACAACAGAACAAGAAGCTGCAGAAAATAGCAGCTTTGGCCCAGAATCGAGTGCGATTCAAATGCTTTGTGGACGCCCTACGCTTCATAGAGGAACAAGGAACCCATCATCATCATCATCATTTTTGTTTAATTGATTATTTTTTATTATCATTCAAAATAGTTGCAAGTTATAAAATATAATTACTGTTGCTGTTAACCAAAAATAATGCATCCCACACCAATTAAATCACTAAAGTCATTTGAATATCAAATTCAAATTTCTTAAGTTCCAAACTAAAGTTAATCGTCAAATATATCAATTATAAGAGATATATCAATAAATGCCTTCTCTCCACTTGCAGTAAAAGCTGTCATATGAAGTTGAAAAAGGCATTTCATGTTTGGTGCAAAAAGCATCATTTTTGGATCTCCATGCATACGATTCAGTTCTAATTTCTTCTTAATTGGACAGTTTCTGAATTCTTTGAAATATTTACCAAATCCTTTCATGACAAGTTTCCATCCTGGTGATGTTGGAACTTTTCCATTTTTTCCAAATAATCCACACCAATCGAAAATTGGCAATGAGTCTTTAAAAATGATTTTGTTCTCGTTGTTCATTAAATTCATTCGAATATCCATCTGAATAGATAATTAATATTCATCAGGATATCAAGATTAGTCAGGTCCAAGAAGGATCCTTAACTTTAAAACTTACCATTAACTTTGTAACTGGCTGTTTAACATCGATATTAATTGTTAAATAAATCCCATCAGCTTCACATTTAGTATTATTAGCAACCAAATAATTGTCAGATGTACAAGATTCAATTGATAGAAATTTATAGTTTTTAGCACACTCAATATGAAATATTGTCGAAAAAAGCATGAAAATTAAATTGAAAACCTTCATGACGAACATCAAGCAAGTCTGAAAGTCAAACAGTTTTGCAGACTTGAATTTATTTTTATAATTTTCAATAATTTAAAATCATTATTTTAATTTTTTTTTATAAATCTGTGGAAGTGAAAAAATTACAAAAAATTAATTGGAATGTGCTGATTGAAATATCAGAAAACTGATAAAATGTAAGTTATATTTAACCAGATATTTTTTGAATGAGGGGGAGGGGGGTTAATGGAGGATTTATTGTCAAAAATACTAGCAAACTGCAAAAAAATTTAACGGATCAAGTTCGACTAATTTATCTAATGACTCTGACTATGATCCTGACTACCCATCATTAACCTCAACAACAAGTGAAACATTAACAAATTCTCTTTGCCCTTTATCTCCAAAAATATTACCAAGCAGCTGAAAATGAACTTTTCCATTGGGCGCAAAAAGCAACATTTTCGGATCTCCATTAATACGATTGAGCGTGATGTTCTTCTTAATTGGACAGTTCATGTAGTCTTTGAAATATTTTCCAAAACCTTTCATTACCACTTTCCAGCCAGGCGATGTTGGAACTTTTCCATTTTTTCCAAACAATCCACACCAGTTAAAAGTTGGCAGTGAGTCTTTTAAAATGATTTTATTATCATTGCTCATTATGTCTACCTTAATGTCCATCTTAAACAATTTAGAGTTTGTGTATATCCAAAATTAATATTTTTAAACATTTGAAACTTACAATAAGTTTTGTAATTGGAATTTTGATAAAAGCATTGATTGTAAAGTGCATTCCATCAATTTCGCATTTTGTAATGGTACCAATAACTTCATTATCAGTCTTACAGGACGTAAGTGACACAAATCTGTAAGTTTTTGCACATTCAGTAGGAAATAAGCTTAAAGAAAGGAAGAGAAATAGAACCCAAATGTTCATATCTGCTGCAAACAAGCTCCAAAATTGACTTCACTTTTTTGTGAGTTTAAAAAATATTTAAAAAATGAAATTTAATTGGTAAATTTATTTTTGAGCTTCCTGAAATTTTTTTAATAGTTGAATTCAGATTTTGAGCCTAATTAACATCTTTTTGGACTATCGAAAGTCATTATGTATTAAAATTACGTCAATTACGTTAAAGTCAATATGTATTACAAGAATTTAACTGATTTTCCAAATTTTTTTTGATATTTTGGTTTCAAACATCAAAAATTTCAGCACTAAGTGTAACATTGACAAGTTCTTTTTGTCCATTATTGCCAACAGCATTTATCAAAATTTCCAAAGATGCTTTTCCATTTGGTACAAAAAGCATCATTTTTGAATCTCCATGGACACGATTAAGTGTGAAATTCTTTTTTAATGGGCAGTTCATGTAATCTTTCAAATATTTTCCATAACCTTTCATGATAACCTTCCAGGCAGCTGATGTTGGAACTTTTCCTTTTCTTCCAAATAATCCACACCAGTCAAAAGTTGCCAATGTGTCCTTAAAAATGATTTTATTATCGTTGTTTCTAAGCTCTAGCTTAATATCAATCTATAAGCGATTCAACAATTATTTTAGGTTAATAAAAAAAGATTAAAAATCTCACGACTATTTTTGTAAGCGGAACTTTAATGTGGATATTTAATGTTAAATACATTCCATCAATTTCACATTTTGTGATTTCAACAATCACTTTATCGTCAGTTTTACAGGACTTAAGTGAAACGAATCTGTAAGTTTTTGCACATTCTGTACAGATTATAGCTGAACATATAACAATAAATAGAACTAAAATGTTCATGACTGATTTGAGCATGTGGACTGTCGAAAAAATATGAATAAGGGAGAATAAGGCAGAATTTTATTTTTAATTTCACTTAAATTGATGCTAATTATTGAAATTTCTGCATTTAAGTTACCGGATGTAGACAGACAATCAAAATCGTATATAAAAATTCAGAAGTCTATCGAGTGTGCGTGCTCAAACAAATTAGATCAATAATCAGTTTAATTCCTTAATTATAAGACTCAGCAATAACTGAAAAATTGACAAAATCTTTTTGGCCTTTTTCACCAAAAAGCTCAACTAAAGCTCTGAATTTGGCTCTTCCCGGTGGTGCAAAAAGCAACATTTTTGGATCTGCAAAGATCTTGTTAAAGTCAACATTTCTTTTGATCGGACAGTGCATGTAATTTCTAAAATATTTTCCAAATCCTTTCATGATCATCTTCCATCCAGGCTTTGTTGGAATTCTTCCATTTTTATCGATTATTCCACACCAGTCAAAGATGTCTAATGCAAGAGTTTGAATGATTTTGTTGTCTTTCATGATCCCAATGCTAAGGTTCATCTAGAAAATTGGAAGGATTAATTTTTTGACTTTGAATCTTTGGATATCGAGTTATATGCAAGAGAATCTGTAGCCAAGTGGTTACTTACCAAAGCCTTAGTTATTGGAAGCTTAACATCAGCCTTTAATGTTAAGTAAATTTCATCAACTTCACATTTTTTGATGGATACGACTTCATCCTTACTCTTGCATGCTTCAAGTTCAATAAATCTGTAATTTTTTGCACAATCAATTAAAATAATGGATAAAATGGACGATAAAATTAATAATACGAAAATTGAAAAATTCATGTCTGATTTCGACTAGTCCAAAAAGTGAACAGAAGTATAAATAGGTCAGTAGTTAATGTAAGGCTGAAGATAAAATTACAAAATTGTATTAATTGCCGATAGCTGGTTGCCTAGCTTGTAAAAAAACGATTATATTTTAGAACAATTTGTATTAAATAGATGCGATTAGCAAATTGGATAGAGATTAGACAATATCTAAATTCTAATTTCCAAACAATTTTTTTCTAATTTTCATAAATTCCCAAAAATAAAGCAGTCATTAGAAATAATATTTATTAAGCAGCTTAATCCTTTTACTGACTTTCTCACAAATCTGCAGCATTTCCCTTTCCAAGCAGAATTAACGATTCATGCACCACCATGCCGTCAGCTATGACAAATATACAATTATTGTAATTTACAGCAATGCCAATTTGACTTAAATTTTGAATGAACCACCTTTCACATGTGCATTTCAACAGTTCGAGGCATAATATTCTGCGAAATTCAGTCTGGTTGCTATGAAAAATAATACCAGCAACAATAAAGGCACAACTTCTCTATAACAATTGTAGAATTGTGCATAATTCATCATCATTCTATCATAAATGTAGTAAATATGAGAAACAAAATTATAATGACTGGCATGGATGGATAGATAGATAGACAGTCAGTTCATCGTTCAGGCATAGTTCTTATTTCATTTATTTTAAATGAGCTTGCATATGTGCAGTGGGGTAGGATGGAGGCAGTGGTGTAGCCAGAAAATTTTTAAGGGGGGTGGGGCATTTTCGAAAATTAAAAAAACCGTTATTTTGTATCCTTAAATATATTCTTTCTTCATAAGTTTAAATATTTAATTCATTATTCATACATTAAATTTAATTTTTCGTGCTGATTTTGACATTTCTCTCATCACTTCCTCTACATTAACCCCCTATGGCCCCCCCTGGCTACGCCCCTGGATGGAGGATACGATTAAAACAGTGAGAGAGGATGAAATGGTTTAAAAGATCCAGAATTGGATATTTGGTTTCAATTTTTATTTTCGGTTACCCGAAATTCTGGTTACGTCACTGCATATATGTGAAGTTTTACTTTTTTGATTTCTTAGCGTGAAATTTCATTAAATAAGTTTTGACGTCTGCAATTTCTTTAAGGTACATATTACTGTAAGCAGATGGAGATGACACCTTGACTACACCCCTATTCTTCAGTTATGTGCTTTATGCACATCCCTTCCACTTCTTCTTCTCACATTTGTTGTTTGATGTAAGCATTTCATGTGCCTTGCAGTAAATATAATGAGAATAATTCTATGTGATGATGAAGCATACAGTAAAATATCACAATGGTAAATTTGCTGCTGATGTTGCAAAAATGAACGATGTGACGGGCATTATGCATGGAAAATGAATATAAAAGATAGAAAAAAAAATTTAAAGCTCTGTACAAATATGAATAGCTTGAGTGATAAAAATGTTTTTCAATCATCGCTCTTGGAGATGAAAAAGAGCACTGACTGAAGTCTGAAAAATAAATAAATAAATATGCAGCTTCCAAGCGCTTGGATGTACTTTGTAGTGAAGCTGTTTGTTTATTAGTAATAAGGATGGGATACTTTGAAATTGGAGCTGGAACTTAATTGCTGTTAGTTTCTTATATTTTGCATAGATCTAATTCAAAATGAACTTGAGGAAGTGGTGGGGAGCTCTAAAATGTTTGAAAAAGTCGACAGCTTTAAGTGCTTCGTAGCTTGAGAGCGCCAAACCTAAATGTAATGGACAATTACATCCATTTAACAGCCAACCCCCTTCATAGTGTCCATATTCGCTCATTTTCATCCCCACGTTTTAAAAAAAATTATTCAAATAATTCTACAAAAAGAGAATGAATAAAAAATGGAAAATTACTGCCGGGTAAATATTTGCAGAAATCTTTTTTCTCATAACTTTATTCATTCATGCTTTATGCTTATCGTTTTATTCACAACTACTTTGCTTTACAGTGCAGTGTACTTTAACAAGCTTAATTCAGCTACAAGATTTAATATTATTTTTCACAAAGATTTCTGAACTGTAATTTTCATGATGAGGATGTAATTGTGCACATTGATTTAATTGCTGGAAATGGAAACATTTAAAGAAAATAGAATGAGGAAATTAGACTTTTAGATTAAGGATGTGGAAGATGTTAATATTTAAGGTGGTTGTAGATTTGGTAATTAATGTCTGAATGTTGCTGTTGTGGGGGGTTAGGAGAGAAATCAGATTAGGTCCCAGAAATCATTTTTTGAAAAATTCAAAACCATCGCTTAAACTCGTCATTGGATGTATCTAGGATGTACCAAGGTTGAGATTTAAATCTCTACTTTAGACAAACTCATAATCCACAATTTATTCAGCAGTTAAGTGCCTTTCTGGTCGAATATGTAAGGCGCTTGGCTCAAATTTGGTATGCTAACTCGAAGGTCGTCGGTTTGAATCCAGCCATTTCCAAATTTGTTCTTTTTCAGAAGTTTAGATACTTCGACTGCTTAATGTACGAGATCAAGTATAATTGGGCATTTTGGGCAACGTTGGATTAAGAAAAAGATCAGGAACTTGAAGTGTAGCGGGAGAAATAGGAACGAGAGCTACAAGATTACCTTAAAATGGAATATTGTCAGAACGGACCTGAAATGTATCACGTCACGCCCACAGAAGATTGAAACGAAAGCCTGAATTTAATCGAAACCTAGATTGAAGATTAGAAGCTTAATTCTACGTCACCCATAGTGATATGAAATGTATCACTAATCAATGTAAAAAGTAAAACATGTATAAATACTAATTCTTCTGGACGGTAACGTCGACAAACAAATAATAATAATATAATAATAATATTCCAAGAAAAAATTATATTACATCCTCAATTTTCAACATTATTCCCAGGCATTCCATTAAAAAAAATTCCTTACTTTCATATTTTCTCATGCTTCCTTCACTTCTGTTATCATCATCCATTTCATCGCTGACATAACAACGAAGGAGAAAAATGAGAAATATTTGCTTGAATTTGTCTACAAAAAATGTTTTATTAATTAAGTGGATTTTTCACAATGTTCACAGAATTCTTTAATTTTAATCTATAACAAGAAAAGCTGTTAATTCACGGATGATGATGATGGTTGGTGGCTGATATTATCGCTATTGAGATCATGTCTTTTGACTGTGTATCATTTTTAATGTTGATAAAGAAGCAACAGAGAATTGGGCAGGTCTTAGTGGTTGGTGGTACAATCATCGAAGAGCTAGGGTATGAAGGATTTAGATTGAAATGTTTTCAAGATTTATTGCATCCTTCTAAAGGGGTCTATATATTCTTCTCTGGCTACGCTCCTGATACAAGCATCCTAAATGAACAGCATAGTCTCACAAAAAAAGCTGTTGGCGGTTATGTGACATGATAAAAAATTGTGCAATGACAGTGGATCTTTTGTGTGCATCATCATCAAAAAAATATGAAAAAAACTCGTATAATGAATAAAGTGAGCTAATGAACAACCTCGTGACTTAATGGACATGCTGTGTGTCTCTTTTTGTCTTTCTTTTCATTCATCCAATGTTGCTGCTTTTTTCTTCCTTTTTTATGTTCAGTTTTCTATATAAAAAATTAATTATAATGGAGAGTAATTAAAAATGCTTTATTAAATCTCATTGCTTTGATCTTTGACGCCCGAGATAGAGAGACTGTTTGGGTATGAGGGTGTTGTGTGATGGAACTTAATGTGATCCTTATCTATGTGTACAAATTCTTTAAATTTACATAAAAATTTGATAATAATTTCCAAAATATATAATCTTTAGTCCAACCGACTATAACAATTCAGAGCTAATCTACAGACCGGGCATAATGTTTTATGATTCAAAGCTTCTTTTTCTCTCTTTATAAAAATAAACATTCTCCTTTTTTTCATCGCTTTGTTTGACCTCTATCTATCTCTATCTAGATGAATTAATTGGCACAATAAGTAAAGGAATTCATTAAGCATTGCTAAATGCTCTTGAAAGGAATAAGACGAGAAAAAAAAGTCATTATTGAAATAATTTCATGGGAATTTATCATATTAATTAGATGTGAAATTTGAAAGCTTTTTATAGCATTTTATAGATCTTTTTGTTGCTTCCAAGCTAAACTAGTGACAAAATTAATCTACGCCGTCTATCATTTGTGCTAAAATTGTACTTTTAAGCCCAATTTTGGAGGCTTCAAGCATTAATTCCTTATTGTTTGAATGCTGAAATCACATGCACATCTTCAACTTTTTCGCCAAAAAGCAGATCAATTATGACAACATCTGAATTTGAATTGCTTTGAGTAACCTTTCTCCTTGATTTGTGCAACTTATTGGTTCTTCGTTTTCTGGATTTGCTGATATTCTGCTTGTTTGTTTTGTAACATGTGAGTTTTTTGATGAAATTTCTGATTACAGCAATAGCTTTAAGAATCAATTCAAAAAGAGAAAGAAGTGAAAATCCTAAAAATAGTCCAGCTAGTCCACCAATGTCAGAAACAAAGTTTTGAACTTTGTATGTTACATAATTTGTAGTTTCTAAAATTTGTGAATCACCAAAAGCCAATTGAAAGTTTGAGTGAGTTGCGTTTACACTGAAAATTAAGTTTTCTTGTTAATTAAACTATGAGTGAGGCTTGAACAGGAATTGTCGGACCATTAGCTTTAAAAGATCATAAATCATCAATTTACTTACTCTTCTTGTTCACGTTTCATTGAAAAATCATTTATAATTGTGTACTTGATCTTCTTGCATGTTGGATAGCAGTTGCATGGAAACTCGGGATAATTTTGTTTATTTATGTCATCTGCATAGTAACTGCTTGCCCATTTGTAGTAAATATTTGTAAAGCATTCAATTTGCTTAAATTTACAGACATTCATGCTATCAGACCTCGGCATCCAAAAAGCTACACATCCACAAGTTTTATACGTAAAGTTTGTCATGCATTCAAGTTCGCAGTTGAGTTTTGTGTAAGATTTGAGGAACATGAGATGCTTTTCGTCCTTAAAAAAACATTTTCTATGATCAGGCGGGTATTCTTTGAGACTTTCGTCAAGCGTATGAATTTGAGCACTAATTCGCATGTATTTAAATTCATCGACACTAAAAGTTGTAAAAATATTTGAAAAAGTTGGAAGTTCATCCGGAAGGTGAAGAATGACTCGATATGATTGGAAATTATTAGGACAAAAATTATCAAATTCAACATTTTTGACTTTAGCGTCTGCTTGAAAAAATTGTAATCCTGCTGCTCTAAGCGGTTGAACCCAATCTTCGTCTGTAGAATAACCATCATGGATTGTCCAATTTGAAGGTTCTAAAGCTGACGCATCATTATGATATTCGACCTTAGCTTTTGGGTTCCATGATTTTGTGATACTTTTTCGTTTATATCTATCAAAATCAGCACTAATGCTCGAATTAAATATAGAATGATAACCAAGCAAATTAAAGGTAAAGCAGTTTCCAAGAAATGTTAAGGAATGGATCAAAACCTTTCTACATTCAATATCATAGGACACAACACAACTCCCAAAAATATCTTTCATTTGTGGGGAAAAATTGTCGAAAAGCTTCACAATGTTGTCATCATCAAAAGTGCTGTTCCGAAAAAAATGCAGCATTCCATTGTAAATCTTATTACATACGTGACTTGATGCTATTGATAATTTTCGATCAATTAATTTTGTTGTCTTATTAAATTTAACATCCACAAAGAACTTTGTAAAATTTAAATATTTCATGCTAATTGTATGCGGTGGACATATAGTCACAGCAGGAAATGGAATCGTTCGGCTGTTTACATATCTTGCCTTGACTAAAACTTCAGGATCGATTCTTAATTTTATGTAATTTTCACTCACATAATATCCCAAACCCCATACAGACACAGATATGACAATGATCCATGAGATTTTAAGCACTTTTGATGCTTCACGTCTAAGAATATTGTTTTTTCCGAAATCTAGATCCATAGAGTTATGCACAGTATTGCTCGTTGGCTATTGATAGCTAAGTGCAGATGCTTAACAAGCATTAACATGAATATCAACTTCATTTAGATTAAAAGTGCTCATTCGTGTTCACAACTTGAACTTAAGTGCGTTTTAATTGTGACTGCATTCGTGCTGTTCTGTAATTTGTTTCTTAGAGACCTTCATCATTCGTTGAAGCTGATTATATCAAGTACTATATGTGCCGAAGTTCTAATCCAAATTGTCACATAACTCCAACTCCTCAACCAAGACTAGCACTTCTGAAAATATAATTTCTGAAAGTCGTCATTTGCTAACCTCTCCAAATCCCAACAAAAAAGAGAATGAGAAAGAAGAGCACGAACACATCAGCTTCATCTGGATAGCTACAACCAAAAGCTGTCAGTCTATTCTACGAGAATGACATGACAAGGTAGTAAAGGAAGAGAATATCATTCGAATAATAAAGCAGCATCGAGAGATAAATAATTCCAAGCTAAATGTGATGGATGTTACATGAATTATCTATTTATATATAAATATGGAATTGAATTGAAGGTAATTGAAGGATTATTTTCATAAATGAAATTTTTATTTTATTATTTTGTTCAGGAAAAAAAAAGTTGTGAGCTGAGCGACATGTATGGCTGTGATGATATAGCAGAGGATATCGGCAGTAGAGGAAAAAATACCTTTTTATCATTCACTCGATGTATCATCAATTTCAATTTATCTCCATCTATCTATTTCCGATATTATGGATTAAAAATAAATATCGGCAAGTAAGAAGTCTTCTTGAGTGGACTTGACTAAAACGCATTTTTCAAATGTCCACAAATATTTTATTCATTTTAGTCTTATTGGGGATTAGTTTAATATAGTATTAGGGATTTCATATCCTTTAATGAACTACTCAATTTCCATATTATATCCATCACTAAAATCCAAACTGCAATCAACAGTTCAACTACCTTTCATCCCAAATAAACGTCTGCTCTCACAAAAAAATAAAATTTAATCAATAAAGCACCATCATGAAAATTGTTGCCATTTACTATAATAAATGCAGCAGCAGTAGCATCAGCAGCCAAGTTATACAAGTCACATATGATTTCTGACAGGACAAACGAAAAAAAAGACACAGCGTGAGGGAGAGAAACATAGCAGACAGCAAGCAGATATGGAAGAGAATTTTCAGGTGTCACGTATGTCCGTCAATTTTCATTTAATTCCATTATTTCAATTATAGCATTTTCACACTTACACATATGCAGGGCACAGGTAAATATTAAATGCATGAGGCATACATGCATAAACATTAAAGTGTCATTACGTAATTTTCAGATGGAAGAGTTTTGGGGGATGTCAGGGGTTAAATTGTGATAAAATAGTTTAATGGATCAAGCGACTAGTGCTTTGAAATCTGATAATTTGAATGACATTCTTACTATCCAAGGTTTGAGTCTCAGCACATGCTTAAACCCCAAATCAGAAACAATTTCCAAGCCACACTACCGCTACAAAGTTTTTTCCATCATATTTTCCTCATCTTCATCATCTATCCACCTGCAACATTTTTAATCCAGCAAATGCTTTACTTCTACAGCTGCAATATGATGTAAAAGAGATGGAGAGTTGGGTATAAAAAAAAAATATTTGAAAAAATGTAGCATTCATGTCGTGATTAATTATTACCCACCGCTACCGTCATTTTCTTGCCATAGCTGGCATTTTTAATATGTCGGGACGTTTTTCATTCGCGTTGAGTAATTTTGCATATTTTTTTTATGAACATATTATTGAGTACTAAATTGTAGAGTCTTTTCGGTCATTAAAATTGCATAATAAATGAGACATATGCATGCATAGCAAGTACGACTTTTCATAATTCTTAAAAAATAAACTTTTTATAAGCTCAAAAATGATGAATATATGCTAGTTAAATAGTTGAAAATTAAGAAGCATCAAAAGTTGCAACTGAATATTTTAATAGCAGCTTCAGCAAGAAAAAAAAGTCTTCCAATTATATTAATTATCCATCCATTAATGAGGTAAATGTATTCTCATTTTTTTTTCGAAGGTATAATAAAATGTAAGCTTGCAAGTTGATATTTTCTTTACTTCCTCTAATTATCTTTACCTTTGCTTTTTATAGAATTACAAGTTTTGCTTGCGAGTAAGAGAATTTTCTTGATATTAAAAGAATCCTTTTTTTGTTTGCATGTTTTTTTGGAGCTGGAAGGGCTTTAGAGTTGTACAATGTCGTATGGAAGTTTAATCTTCTAGACGCAGCTACGTAGAGCTACGAATTGAATTTGTTCAAAGTTGATATTCAATCTAGGCTTGGTTTTTAAGGGACACGCTTGATACAATCTGAACAGGCGTGTAGCCAGGAGGGTCTTGTTCCTCCGTTAAACGTTTTGAACTGTAGCGAGAGCACGGCCTAAAACGCTTAAGAGGGGGACAATACCCTCCTGGCTACGCCCCTGAATCTGAACATTCGATAATCGAACTCAATTTTCAGATTTATGCGCCTTAAAATCTTGTTCATCACAATAGAATTCCTACTCACTTCCATCTTTATTCTATCAAATTTCTTCTACTTCCTACAATTCTCTGTTTATTTCTTATTCCACTTCTTCTTTTTATGAAAAACGAGATTGAAGAATTCATGTTACATACAGCGTAGTTTAATTAAAAGTTTAACTTCATCTCTTCAGTGATTTTGCATTTAATATTTTTTATAAAAAAAAAGATGAGAAGAAATGGAAGACGAGATGAACTCTGTAGCTTGTTTCAAATTATTGCAGCACTATGAATTCTTTTGTGAAAGTCGAATAACGGTGGAAGATAAGTGAAGCAATTTGTAAGTTTCTTTCCTTATTCTTCAACTTTTTTTTTGCTTGGAAATTTAAGAATGAACACTGAAGTTTTAATAAGATCAGCATTTTATGGAAATTGAGTGCTAAATAGTTTGACGTTAAATTGTAAATTAATTTAGATAACCAGTTCCTTAAATTCCTATTGACTATATGCAACCCTAACCTTAATATATTCAACCGTAAACTTCCAAAGCCTGCATTTATCCTTCAAACTAGGCACAATTTAATTTCTAGTAAGTTTCTTTCCTTATTCTTCAACTTTTTTTTTTGCTTGGAAATTTAAGAATGAACACTGAAGTTTTAATAAGATCAGCATTTTATGGAAATTGAGTGCTAAATAGTTTGACGTTAAATTGTAAATTAATTTAGATAACCAGTTCCTTAAATTCCTATTGACTATATGCAACCCTAACCTTAATATATTCAACCGTAAACTTCCAAAGCCTGCATTTATCCTTCAAACTAGGCACAATTTAATTTCTAGTAAGTTTCTTTCCTTATTCTTCAACTTTTTTTTTTGCTTGGAAATTTAAGAATGAACACTGAAGTTTTAATAAGATCAGCATTTTATGGAAATTGAGTGCTAAATAGTTTGACGTTAAATTGTAAATTAATTTAGATAACCAGTTCCTTAAATTCCTATTGACTATATGCAACCCTAACCTTAATATATTCAACCGTAAACTTCCAAAGCCTGCATTTATTCTTCAAACTAGGCACAATTTAATTTGTTACCAAACAACTAAAATTCAACATCAACAAATAATTTTCCATCCAACTTCCCATTCACCATTGTTGCATTGTATTGAATAAATGCCTTCAGTTACTCATCCAAGCTACAAGTAAAAGTTCTGATAAAAAGCACTTGAAGCTTCTTATCAAAAGCAGCACTAGATTGATGGATGGAGGTGCGAAAGAGGTGGAAGCAAAAGCATTAAAAAGTTCTATAAATTGCAAGTCAAGAGTATACTTATTCTCCTCCTTTCATTAATCTGAAACTTACAGAAAACTACTTAAAGTTTCATTCCTCTTCATCATCATCATCATTTTCCTTACATTTGATGGCTTCTTCTTCAATGTACTTATGTACTTAATTTTATTCATATTTGTTGCTGCTTTGGAATTTGTTGAATAGGAAGTTATTAGCTTGATTTCAACTAAAACATAGTTCATTTGATGGGAATCGAACCATCGACCAGAGCAGATATTAAAGCGAATTTGCAGTCTATGGCTAAATCACTAGACTATAATAACTTTACTAACGAACTTACAGAGTCGCCTACAAATGTTCTAGGTTCCAGGCACATCATTTGCTTAAAAATAGCCATATAACATTCATAACATTAAAGTTTCAATCCATAAAAATTCACTCTAGACATACAAACTCGTCCATAACATTCCCTACTCAAAACTATATTTATTAAGGCTTTGCATTCAAAACTCAAAGTCGAATTATTCGCTCGAAAAGTTTTCATCTTCCTCTTTTCCTTTTAGTTTCAATCTAACCCGCATTTTCGCTTTTAATCAGTAGCACACTCATCACGTCATGTAAATGCTCCTTTAAGTCCCTTTTAATGCATCATAAAGGGATAACAAAAATTTGAAGAGAAAGAAGATGAGGTGACTTAAAGAAGGATTTATAAAAATAATAATTTTCTGCAACGTCAGGTTTTGTAGATTAGAATTTCATATTTCATTCCATCTGGTATTTATAAATGTGGATGCAACTTTTTAGTGTGCAATATAACTTCACAATAGAGAACAGTTTACATAAATTTTTCTGGGTTGTTATGCTGACATTTTTCGAAATTGCTATGCAGCAAAAACTAGAGAAAATGCAAGAACTTAATATAGACCTAAGGTAGTGAGTTTGATTTCCACCAGAATCTAATCAAATCTTATCATAATAAGATGATCCTGATCTGACAAGGATTCGAACAGTACACAGCCACAGCCTTCCTGAATTTTTCATTACAACCACAAAGACAATTTTTTCCATCCCTGACATTTAGACATTAAAGTAAGCAACTGAAGGGTTTATGTATACTTTTTCATTTTCATTTTTTGGAAGCGAGCTTTTACCATATTTTGTGTTGTGTTGCCATTTTTGCTTAATCC